AGAAGAGAGGAGAAACGGCTCAAGAAGGCGACCCCGGGTATTCGTCAGAACGTCACCCCAAAGAGAATGACGACAATTGAAGTCACCCAGCAGGAGCACAGGCTCCGGCAAGGAGTCTAGGAGGTGTTTCAAATCAGGAAGAGAAAGCGGGACACTCGGGGGGAGATAAATGGAACAAACAGTGTACCATTTCCCCACAAAGACACGAGCAGCAGAACAATGGAGAGGTGAAGGAAAAAGTAAAGGAACAAAGGGAACATCAGCACGAATCAAAAGAGCAGAAGAATTAGAAGCCCCAGCAACAGCTGGGGGGGGGGGGGGAGATAAAGGAATAGCCACGAAAACGACCAGGACGAGTACCAAGCATCGGCTCCTGGAGACAGACACAAAGGGGCGAAAACCGCGAAATCAGAAGTTGGAGTTCGAGGAAATTAGCGTAATAACCTCGAACGTTCCATTGAAGAATGGACAACGACGAGAAGAGAAAGGACAAAAACAGAGAACAAGGAAGAAACAAAGGCGAAAGAGCAACAGAGCAAGTTAAAGAATAACAGGGTCGGGATCAGGGTCAGCAAAGTCAGGGTTAGGGGGCATGGGTAAACTGAGCAAAGACGGAGGGAAGGAAACGGGAGAACAGATCAGAGGTGGGCGGGCGGGGTCCGGAGGAGGAGGGAGGAAGGAGGAGACAACGGAGAGGAGCAGGCAAGGACAGCAGCAGGAAGAGGAGGGGTAGAAAGAGGGGAGCGTACCTCAGCAAGGGCAGCAACTGAGAGGGAAGCGGGGGCTAAAGAAACCTCCATAGCAGGAACAGGGGGAGCAACCACCGAAATGGGAGGGGAAGGAGCGAGAGAGGCAGAAGTAGGGGCCGAGGAAGAAAGCGAAACCTTCTTACCCGCCGGGGAGGAGGAAGGAGAGGAGCCAGGTTTACGCTTCTGACGTAAAGAGACAGGTGTTCCAGCAACCACGTACTGGGCAACGGATTCTAGCGTCTCAACAGGAGAAGCTGAACGAGAGCACACATGACGGCCGTTTGGAGAGCGATGGACATCAGCCCGCACCGACAGGCGGCGGGGAGAGTCAAGAGACGGAGGGGAAGGATGGGAAGGAGGAACGGAGGGAGACGAGGAAGAAGACACAGGAGACACGACAGACCGGGTAGAAGGAAGGGGAACCCCAGACAGAGGACCAGGAGGAGGATCCTTCGGGAGAGAACCCAAAGGAACAGAGGAGGGGGCAGTGGGCGCATCAGGGTCCAAGGCCCGGAAACGGTTGTGAGTCTGAGGAAGGCGGGAAGGACGAGGAGAGGAAGAGCGCAACACGCGAGCATAAGAGATATTAGCATAAGGCGGGAGCCGGCGAACCTGGCGTCTCGCCTCAGGAAAAGATAAACGCTCCCGGTGCTTCAAGTTGAGGACGGCTGCCTCAAGCTTGTAATGGACACACGCACGGGAGAAGGCAGGATGGGCCTCACCGCAGTTGAGGCAACGAGCCTGGGGAGAAGTGCACTCCGACTTAGAGTGACCTTCGCCACCACACAAAGGACAGAGAGAGACAGTCCCGGAACAGCGGAGGGCACCATGCCCAAACCTCCAGCACTTGTTGCAGAGCCGAGGAGAAGGAATGTACTCCTGGACAGAGCACCTGGCACCAGCAAGAATGACAGAGGGTGGAAGGGTCCTACCATCAAAGGTAATCTTCACAACCCGGAGGGGTTGACGGCGACTACCACGAGGGGGACGAGTAAACGTGTCCACCTGGAGAATAGAATGGCCCTGGGCAGCAAGGATATGTCGAATATCGTCGTGGCAGTCGCGCAGGTCCCGAACACCGGTCGCAACATGGGGCGGGAGCAAAATAGTGCCAACACTGGCATTCAACTGAGCGTTCTTCGAGACCCGAACAGGGGTCTCGCCAAGGCAGGATAAGGCAGCCAAGCGGGAAGCAGCATCCTGAGAAGGAGCAGCAACGACACGTGTACCGAGACGAGTGGGGTTGAAAGTAATGGAGGCATCCACGGAATCAACGAGATGTCGATGGAGGGAGAAATCGTCAGGAGGCGCAGAATCAAGAGGGAGGAGATCAAAATATTTGGCCCACGAAGCGGGACCAAACAAGGCTTGATAGGTAGCAGAACTGGAAGGAATCGAGCGAGAGCGGCCGTGACGAGGACGGCGGTGAGAACCCCCAGAGAGAGAGGGGTTAAAAGGCGCAGTAGTTACAACTAGAGAAGGAGCCGCGCCAGGGGACGAGGTAGTCACCACTGGGGGCTTGGGGCTCGACCCAACCACAGAGGAGGGAGGGGAGCCAGGGGAAGGAGTCAGAGAGGCCAAAGGAGGAGCAAGGTCGGGGCCCAATGCAGCGGAGGCTACAGAGCCCGGTCTTCCAATACGGACCGACTCGGGGGCTTGGTCGCCCACCCCACGAGCCTGAGAAGGTAAACCAGAAGCAGCCGAAACAGGGGTTATCATCATTACGAAAAGAAGAATTCATTCACGAATGTGCCCCCACACCCACCATGGAGCCACAATTAGAGGCAGGACACCCAACAAGAAGCTATCGCCGATCTTGCCGGGGCCTCCTAGGGGTGCGTCGTGAGTATACGCCCCACAAACGCCACCTTAAGAAACCGACAGTCCGTCGAGATCGGGTTCAGTGACGAAAGGGGGATTGACAATAAAAGGTTCCCCTCGCTCTCGACGTCGGGTACTACAGTTCTACGGGTGCAAGAGTATGCCTCCTCAAGCACCCGGGCGTCAAAATAGAAGAAGTCCAAGGGAAGAACCAGAACGAGCAAAAGGTCGGCAGGAAACGGCAAGCAGATAGGAGAAGAGGGGGGAGAAAAACGAAACAGAAGGAAAAGGAAAAGGAGAGCCGGCAGCAGAATTGGAGAGGACGGCAGCAGGAGCACAAGGCTAGAAACAGGACAGAGGACTGTCCCAAGGAGCATCACACTCCGCTCTTGCCCTACAGCCGCCCACTAAGCCCCCCACACGGCGACAACGAGCTGAGCGGGGAGGGGGAAAATCACTAAATTAGTTTGTTCTGTTGTCTATTAACAAACAAGTCACTTAGTGGGGTATTTAGAATTCTCTACTGTCTCCCTTTCCCTGTTTGTAACAACAACATTAACAAAAATACTTACGGCAGGGGATAAGTTGACAGTGGCATATGCACAGTAGTTTGAGTGTATCATTTGGTGCTGACTTGAGGAGTAACCAATGTACCAGCACAGAAAGGAATATTTCAGTCCATTCAATGCCTTAATTTTACACCATAGATGCATCAACAGTGATGTCCGAGGGAACAAGAAACATTCTAACAGCTATGAGCGCACATGGTGTGAAGAGAGTCTCCACGTGTTTATCTGGTAAGGTTCAAAAGCGAGATGTTGGTCTTGAAACAAGATGTTAATACAGGTAATGTACTGTACAGTGAAAATACGATTGAAAGGAACAATTCATTTGAAGCCCATCAGTTATATTTGATGTTACAGTATATCTGACTTTTTGGGCTTTATTATTATGTTTTTATTGTTTCAGTAGTTTTTGGAAGGGCTTCATGGTGGCTCCCTAGTTGGTAACCACTTGCATAGCTCCACACACATCAAATTGCATCAGGCTCTTGAGTTATGAAAAGCCTACCAGAGACCAGAGGCCAAAACCTGCTCCCCTTACAGAGGTGCAGGGAACAGGTTTTGTGCGTTTTTGCCATTCTGTACAGAAAGCACAGAATACTAGATCACTAACCAAAAAAAAAAAAGCCACCAGATAGTGAGATAAAACAGACACACCAAGGTGACCAAGGTGATAGGAAACAAAACAGAAAATGAGTACAGTAGTTAGGCTGCTTCATGCAATCAAGTGAAAGAACCAGGAGCTACTAGCTTGGCCAGTGAAACCTTCAGGCATTCACTAACCTTCTGCTGTGAAGTGAATAGTGCTTCATCGTATTGCCCTGCTCTTCGGGTCCTGGCTATTTCCAGACACTGTAAGTGGAGGCCCTCCTTAGGCATCTGTCCTTTGGGGGGCACATTTGCTTGTGGTGGTGTTCCTTCTTTTAGTATTTAATTCATATGCACGTGTTTACAATCCTCACATGTTGTGTGGATTGCTTCCCATGGTGCTTGCTGGTGTTGTCCCTGCCCTAAGAGGGTTGTCTTCCCTGGTAAGTTTGGGTGCCCACTTCTGAAAGAACATCCTATTGTTGAGGGTTCCTTGCTCCGAGTAGTGCATATGTCTGACCGCTCATCGGGGTTCAGTCGTTGTGAGTCGGTCAAGTTTCTTCATTATTTACAGGTAGCACTGGCATTCAGGTGCTCATTTTATAGTACTTTACTTATGCCCTTCACCGCCTTTATCTCTAAGCATTGTTCACTTGGGACAGAGACAAGCAGTCCCTGTCCCATGTGCTTCTGTTTGACCTTTACCTTTGGGACTTGGTAAGCCCCTAGCAATCTTTACTGTGGGGAGCCCTGTCGGCTCCCTGAAGCTATTCAGACTGATATGTGCTATATTAGTTTGGAGACTTCAGCCAGAACCTGGCCCCCTCAGAGAGGCGCAGGGAGCAATGGCCACATGATCACTACATTTAGAGTATGTCATGTCCGCAATTGACTGGGGTATACCCTCCAGAAAGGTAGGCATAAGAATATACCTCCAACTGGTGAAAATTCCAACCTACATCCGAACAGAGCCAAAGAAGTCCCCCAAAGAAAAACAAATAAACAAGCAAGTCGTCATTAAATTAGCGCACCCGCTCGTTAGCACCCCCTCCTCCCCTGAGAGGGAAAAGGGGAAGCCCGTTCAGGCAAGCCTCCAGCTCAACCCTCCAGTTCTTTACTGATGTGCACTGGTGGCACACATTACCTCTGGCCTCGCTTTCCTGTCTGAATTTTGGCCGTGTGTGGCTGTGCCAGCTGTGTGGGGTGGTTGTGGTGTCAACTTTACATTAATTAAATTAACGTCGTGGCTCAACACAGGTGCAACGACAGCCTCTCATACCATTCCTTCAGATATTCTATCCACATCAGCATCCACTCCTGCAATGTCCGCCACCAGTACTGTTCCTTCAGATATAGCATCCACATCAACATCCATTCCTGCTACCAATCACCCAGTTTCAGTAGATATACCATCATTGCTTGTTGTTGCTGCTGGTGACATTTTACAAGAGGAAACACCTAAATCTGTAACAGTAAAGATGTTTGCAATCAAGAGACAGATCTGGGGCTGAGACATTAATGATACTAACACAATAGATTACTAGATTCATAGTGGGCCCTAATCATGTCAGAATCATGATAGCAACCTTTCAAACTCACACACAGTGTACAAAACAGCTGGAGTAGAGAATATGAAGGCAAGGTATTTATCAAACAATGTGTTCAAACGTGAACTGCAGAATGGCGAGTATGTAAAATGTGAATGGCTACTCTAATCACCATCCCAAGGTCGTTTGTACTGCATTGTATGTCACCTATTCTCCAAGAAAGAATCTCTCTTTGCTACATTGGGGTTCTATAACTGGAAGCACAACAATATTATTGTATTACATGAAAATGGAGAACATCAAAAGTGCATGACAGCATATTTGATAAGGCATAAAGAAACAAAGTGTAGATTCTTTATTACTTGAGCAACATTGCTCAGAGCATGAATATTGGCATGAAGTGTTGACATGTGTGGGTTCTGTAATTCACTTTCTTGCCTCTAGAGGTTTGCCATTTCGTGGAGAAAATCAGATTATTGGGTCAGCAAAAAATGGCAACTATTTAGGTATACTTCAGCTGCTGAGTGAATTTGACCCTTTCTTAGAAGAACATATAAAAATGTATGGAAATCCTTGAAATGGGAATCCGTCATATTTATCTGCAAATATTTGTGAGGAATTTATTGAATTAATGGGACAACAGGTTCTTTGTATTATTCTTGGTGTAAAAAGAGTCAAAGTATTATTCAATAAGTGTAGATTCCACTCCAGACATCGCACACAAAAGATCAACTGACATTTACTGTCCGATACATTAAATTCTGTGAGTGTGTGGAACGTTTCTTGATGTTCATCCCCATCTTTTCTGAACAATGAACAGCAAGTGAATACAAGGTGAGAGACAGAATGATTGAGCACAAAAATGGAAAACCTGGAAACAATCTTTCTCACAGTTCTTTGGAATGACATGCTAGAAAGAATGAACAAAAATATCAAGGTATTGAAATCAAAGAATGTAAACATCCTTGTTGCCACGAATATTGTTGAGTCTATGAAAACCTATCTTCAGGAAACTAGAGAAAAAATTTAGTGAATATGAATACAAAGCCATGAGTATGTGTCCAGACACATATTACAGTGATGGGAAAAATGGGAACGCAAACGAAGTGTGCGTCTTAGTAGATATGATGGAGCGGCAGAAGAGGTACTTCTCATTAAAACCAAAATATTCAAGGTGGAAACTTTCCTCGCTATTCTTGACACTAATCTTTGAATTGACAAAATGTGCCGAGGCTTATTTACAGATTGGAAACCTGTTTTCTTTCTTCAGTGATTTGAAAGCCATTGCTTCTGATGCACTAAAGAAAAAGTGTGAACATCTGGGTAATTGCGGATTCTTCAGGGTCGTTCTGTTCGACCGGCGTGCAATCTTTTTCTCATGTCCATGTTGTTCGTGATTATTTCACATTTTCAGCTGTCCTGACAGTTTTGTCCTGGGGCAGCTTTTCTAGCATGAGGAAGCTTTGTAGGGGTCGGCCTGTTGTATGGCAGTTTGGGGTCTTTTCTTGTGCTCATTCTCTGGTGCATTTGTATGTTTCTTCTTTATCTTGTTTCCTTTCCCCCCATCCTGCCTGTTTAGTGTCCGTTTGTTTTTTATCTGTGAGTAGAAGCTTCAAGGAGCTTAAGGTTTTCTCCCCCCAGAAAATAAGCATTGAATGTAATGAAGTGCCAATTTCTGGTTGAAGCCCATCAACTCCCTGACAATCCAGGGCATTGGGCGTGTTTCCATCTTCATAGCACTGAGGGTGGAGCAGCCAGCTAACCTTGTGCTGTGACCCCCCCTCCCAAACAAGGGGGAGGTGGGGCAAACAAGTTAGTACTAGTTTCATGAATTTTCGATGCTTTACATGGTTGGAGGAGTTCTTTTGGCAGTTTCTGAAGCTGCTGTATAGCTTATATCCAGCAGTGGTTTTTGTTTCATTTCACTGACTTTATGGATGCTTCCTTGCTGATGGCAGACATGAATAAATTCACAGAAATTTTACGTTTGTGTTGCCACTCCCTGCACCTCTTTAGAAGGGGCCGGGTTCTAGCTCGTAGTACCTAGTAGGCCAATAGAACTCAGCGACTGAAGGCACCTAGTGTAGCACTGTTTGAAGTAGAAGCTTCGAAGCCAACCAGGTTCACCCAAAAATGGGCATTTCATTACAGTCAATGCTGGTTTTTCTTTTCTGGAAGCAATGTCACCCAATTAGGGAAGAAAATAGCGTCAGTAAATAGTAAAATTCCAACCATCATCTGGATTCCAGTCCCAATTGATGTTGGAGGGCAACTCCATTGTATTGGCAAGTTATAAAAAAATCACCTCTGCACCCTATATAATAAACAAAAAGCAGGGTAATCTTATATTTTATTATTTTAAAACCCAACCTTAGTATTATATCTTGGAAAACAAACTGTCAGTCGAATTACAGTACTAAACATACAGATTCCTAATGGCTGCCTAATGTGCAAAGGCAAATGAGAGAAAAGATATTAATTCATAGTGTTCCACCCTACTCAGCAATTGAATGTAAGATCATCTTACTTGCAATTATTGCATGCCTGCATTGCATTCTTTATCAAGCTGCATGTAACTGTTTTATATACACACTGATGTGTTTATGCTATAATAATATTAAATGTGTTTTAACATATTTTATAGCATTCAGCTTTAGAGAGAGGACCCAAGTTCCTGAGCGGTTTCTCCCTATACTTGATGAACATGAACGCATGCTACAAGCCCTGAAGGCCAGCAATTTGGAGTGGGTTGCAGTTTTGCCACCGCATATTACTGGTAATGCTTTTTTTGTAGTTTTAATAGTCGTTGTTATTATCAGTATCAGAGGTAAAGGAATAAATACTGGTCATGAATAATCTGCATAGAGTTCAGATGGATGCATTCCTGCATGCTCTTTTTATCATTATAGAGTAACCAGGTTTATTGTATTTAATTTTTCTACTGCTATTTGCTTCATTCATCTATAATATTTCCATTATGGGAAGTAATGCTACATTCTCTGATGGTACCATAGTAGCTCAAGACAAAGAAATGGTGGGATTTCAGTTAGCCATTTACCGGATTCTTGTATCAATTGGTAATGAAAGTTTGGTTCATGTATCAACTTACCGACAATACTTTCCTGTAACGTAACTTTCAATCCTCCTCCATCCTCATCCTCTTCTAGAACTCCAGTTCCTCAGTCTTCCTCCCCACCCTCTCCTTTTTCCAAGTAATTTGGACACCAAAAGCTAAAGCTTTGTGTATCCCACTACACCAGATGGACTAGTTATTGTTGCAAGCGATGTGATAATGGTAACCCAGTTACCATTACATTCTGGACGCACACATTGATCATCAGAAATGATCATAAACATAATTCAGCAGCAATAATGAACAACAGAGCTTGTAGAATCATAGCTGGTAATAGTGCTGTAGTAAACCGTAGTTGGAAAACAAATCACAGTATTAATTTTAAGAAGTAGCAGATTTATTGTAAGTAATAGCTTTAGTTGTAATTTATCTAAATTTTTATACAGATGAGCCAGGGTGTGGGGACTATTTGAAGCAGCACAACAGTTCTCCAGGTCGGAGGGTCTCCAAGTACGATCTCGGTCACTTCATGGTCTTCTGTTTGTCAGATGATGCCAACCTCTATCAGTTATGTGGTATTAGTGATAAACCACAGTTATAATCAAACTTTTCTGTTTTTAAGTTTTCTGTGTACTGCAATACTTTTAAGTTTTGTTTTTTTCTGTTATTTTCTCATACATATTTTTGTACACAGTACAGCTAATTATTTAGTTTTAAAACATAAGAAACACTGAACTATCTCTTACAACTGATGACTAATAGGTGTGTAAAATATCAAACGTTGATAATGAAATTTCTCTTTCTGGACTAGCCTCAATGGCTTCCTGATGCTATCTCACCGAGATTGCTCCATGAAAATGGGTCACATTAGAAGCGGGAGTTATCTTGGGCTTACTGGGGACTAAAGCAAAACCTGGGGCCAGATTCACAAAACAGTTACGCAAGTATTTACAAATGTGTACATCTTTCCTCAATTTTTGACGGCTTTGGTTACATTAAACAGTTTACAAGCATGAAAACTTCCCAATCAACTGTTGTTTTTGTTATAAACAGCCTCCTAGTGCTTCGGAGCTCATTAACTGTTTAATTATTGTAAACAAAGCTGCCAAAGATTGAGAAAAAATGTACAGGTTCGTAAGTGCTTGTGTAACTGCTTTGTGAATCTGGCCCCCTGGTTCCTTCCCTAACGAAGGTGCAGAGAGCAAGTGATAATTCGTTGCTACACTGGTAAAGTATCCAGAGTCGATGAAGCTTTAGAGAACTGGAGGATTAAAAAGGACTAAAATTGCAAACACTAACTTCTGGGCTGTGTAATTATTAATAGCTAACTACCCCCTCGTGCACAAGAAAAATAAAAATTGTTCCTTCCAATATTGTTGAAATGACTTCATTCATAAACAGGGGGTTTTGCGGGTGGATGGAATGGGCATTGGGTCTTTGTTTAGAGGACAGGCTGTTGTCCGATTCGACCCATTTGTATAGAGCTGTCATGGGATAGCTTCAGCGAGCCACTGGAAACTCCCCCAGAAATTAAAATTATAACAGCAGTTTTTTTTTGTTTACAGTATTGTACCTGTACTGCAAAAAGACTAAGTAGTTATTCTAGCCAGTACCAAACATATTTAGTGTTTTTAACCATTTTGACAAATTAATCCATGTTAAAATTTTAGTTCAGAATTTCTAGCTGTACAGTATTTGAACAATATTTTTGTTTGATATTTCAAGTGCAGTCATAAAATTATGTTTATATATAACTTTCCTATGTAAAGGTATAATCTTAGTTGACCACAACTAATCCTCGTGTATAAAAATGAATTAATTACTGCAGAATTTATTAATAAACAATCCAGTCCTTCATCCTGTTTAATACACTGTTAAGTCATTTTGCTTGATAGTCTAGGGTAGCAACTACTATTCTTGACATCACAAAATTTAGTACTGTACAGTACATAAAACAATAGATTGCACCACTTCACAAAGGCAGTAGTAAAGCAGATGCAAAATATTGTATAGACCAATAGTCCTAACATTACCAAAGACTTTGATGATGTGTTGAGTGCTAAGAATCATTAAGAACAGCATGAGAAGTACAGTAATCAAAAGAAGGCACCAAACAAATATGTAACACAGTCAAAATCACAGGATGTTCAAAAAGCACTAAATATCACCAAGAATGCAAATACGAAAACAAAAGCACATAAGGTGAGGGACGTCAAAGGTATCGGATTGACCGAGGCTATCAAGGGACAAATAACC